TCTACATCAAAGCAAAAGCAGCCCTGCTGTGTTTCCAACTGGCCTCTCTCTCCTCTCTGTACCACAAAGCTTCCTTCTTTCACAGATCCATTTCCTATGAAGAGACCATTCAAAGAGGCAGGAGGTGACACCTGCCCCCACTACTTGGGACATACTCACTGAAGTGTGATTTTTCCCTTTATTTCATATGCACAAAATTTATTACATGTGTATGTTCCTGTTTGGGTTATCTTCCCTCTTTAAAGGGGGCATTCTTGTAAGAACAAAGACAAGAGGACTGGGTTCTTCCTTTGTTGTTATATGATTGTGGATAAGGTACCCTGATGGACTTCAGTTTTCTCATCAAGAGGATGGACTGGACTGGGGGAATCTCTTCCTTCCAGCTGTAAGAGTGTACGATTCTATGATTCCATCTCTTTTAGATGTGATGGATATTTTCTATAAGCAACTGCTGGTGGTCAGGTGTTTATTGGAGGAATGATAAATGCACCTTAATATTCTGAGACTGGCTACTGGGATCAAACACAGCCCAGCACACTGTCAAAAGCACTTGGCTCCATTCTACCACTTCTGCTACGAGGATTTGGAAGAATAACTCAAATACATACGCCAACACTCTCTTTCAACTCTTCTTTCAAATGTGAAAAATAAACTGCAGCAAACATTTTTACTTGGTTTGTAGACCTGAGAAGTCCTGGTCTCCTTTTTGCTCTATAATAACCTGACTTATTTATTGCTTAAATAAGGGCATGCAAATTATCCATGAGTGAGTTTCCTTGAAACTAGAGAAGACATTTACGTGCAGAAGTTATTTTCATGTGAAATATTTTCAATAGAAGGCATTTTAAAAAATTATATATTCTCCTTTATTTTTTAAACCCAGGATACTTTACGTGTTTTTGATTACCTATACCGTCATCAATAAGCCAAAGTTATTACACTGCGTTGGACTATATTCTAGTCGCTTACTGATGATACTCAAAACTACTGGAGCACCTGGGTCTACTTGTCCTTCCACTGAATGTGCACACACTTCTGGTGTTGATTAACCCAAAAGCAAACAGAAGACCCTTGTCACCTTGTCACTTACATTTCCTCTTGCCAGCTCTTCTACCCCACGATTGCCCATGAATCAAGTGGACTCTCATCTGCTCCTTTAGTTTAGGTACATGGCTTGAGGATGGCTTCATCTTTCCAATTAAGCTATACTACGGGCTCTATGACATCCGTTTTTTCGATCAGAAGCTGTTTCCATTTATTTCCAGACTTGTGGCTATGCCCCATATGGTGATGTTGCTGGGAATCGGATGTGGAGACAAGGGGAAATTTCCTCTACTACCCTATCAAATCTTCAGGTGAGAGACCGAAAGTAAAGGGGTTCTAATAATTATAAAGATATACAGAATGACAATCATTAGTACTTCTCCAACTACTGTGACTCCCAACTTCACAGAAAAATGTGCAAACTGAGCTGTATAACTTCACTTCTATTTGATCCAATGATCACTGCATATACTTGAATTTTCATTCCATAAGAACACATAAAACATGTAAATTTATACTTCGGAAGATGTACACATGTACATGCATGCACTAATGCTCGAGGTGTTGAGATAATCTGAATATTCTAAAATATTAGATACAAGTAATTGCTACAAAATATTTTAAACCTTTCACATGACTTATATTTTAACAAGAATGGCAGGCTCTTCTTACGTGAAACTGAATATATTCAGTAGAGTCGTTTGAGTTTTATAAGTCATAAGACAAACGATACAATACTTTTCTTTTTCACTGGCTTTTTTCAACAAATACTCTTAACCCCGACATCTAGACTTAGAGAGAAACTCTCCCTCTTCTGTCCAAGTCTTCTTGCACAATGGGATAACAGGCTTCACTGAACGGCTAAGAACGTGGCCAGTTGGTAGACTCCTTCAGAGAGAAAACAGAACACTCCCTCCATCCTGCTAGTCCCAGTGAGGGGTCTGTGAGGTTGACAACACTAACAGGGCAGTCAGTGATCAAGACACCATTCCAAGAGCAACTATCCATAATCCAAAACTTGTCTCATTAAAAACAAATAAAGAAAATTTCAGTACCACCAGCCCTTGAGCAACACATGTTTGAACTATGCAGATCCACACAGTTACACACAGCATTTTTTCAATAAATACATACTGTAAATGTATTTTCCTGACTTGTTTTTTTAGTAACATTTTATTTTTCCAGCTGACTTTATGGTAAGAATATACCATATAGTACATGCAACATACAAAACACGTGGGAATTGACTTTCTATTATCGGTAAGGCTCCTGATCAACATTAAGCTATTAGTAGTGAAGTTTTTCTGGGGAGTCAGAAGTTAAAGCCAGATTTTGGACATGTGGCAGAGTCAGTGCCCCTGATTCCCTGTTGCTCACGGGTCAACTGTACGTCTTTGGTTCTCTCACATCCTTATTTCACAAGAAATCAAACAGTGTAAGGAACTAAAGTTGGTACAATTTATTAGCATCACTGAGAATTTTATATCCCTTCTTAAATATATCCGCATTAGGTCTAACTCTGAAAGCAATTACAACTAGACTGAGAGGGCAGAGTGTTCATGGCTTGTAAACCTTTAGAGCTCTGGAATCTGTTTCACAAGGAGGACTTTTTAAGCCCCAGGTTTTTCTTCCCTGACCCAGGCTTTTTTTTTTTTTTAAGATCTTATTTATTTGACAGAGAGAGACACAGTGAGAGAGGGAACACAAGCAGGGGTGGCTGGGAGAAGGAGAAGCAGACTACCCACCGAGCAGAGAGCCCAAGGCAGCGCTCGATCCCAGGACTCTGGGATCATGACCTGAGCCGAAGGCAGATGCTTAATGGACTGAGCCACCCAGGCGCCCCATGGGCTGTTGTTTTTTTTTTTTTTTTTTTTTTTAAAAAACAATGAACATTCCTTGAAGGCTCCCATTTCCATGAGCACTTGCTTGATTCTTTGCAGGTAAATCACAGGGAGAGGTAATCTTCAAGCTATCTTAAAAGCAACTGATCAAGTTTTTGTTCAATATTTAAGTTTGAATATGTTCTGTTTGGACCAACTTGTTTTGATCTTGATGTCACCATCAGCTCCACTGGGAAGTGCTGCAATGCCTGGCAGCAGAGGACACGCCAGAGACGAAAGGCACTAAGTGCCGCTGCTAATAGGTGAACCAGATCATCCTAACCCGCGACGATAACCGTTGTTGACAATTCACGTGAAGCCCCAGCTCCGTATAAGGGAGTGTTCTGACTCATTTTATTGTATTTCTCCAAGACCTTTTAATATACTTTACTGACTATACCTCAAAAAAACCCAGAAATTAGCAATTCAACAAAGAAGGTCGAGAACCTGTGATTCAAAAATCTGAAACCCTAGAGATCACCATTTAACAGCCAATCCTGAATGGACGGACTCTTCAGTCTAGAACACTTGCACCAGAAATTTTGATGACGTTAAACCACTTAACGAGCCTCTTACCTCCAGTCTGCGCCCATGAAATATAGTCTTGTCCCTAATAAAGCTCTTTAAAAAAAATCTGCAAGTCCCATTGTTTTGCTCCAAAGCCTTACACAGCTTTAAAGCCATGCTGCACGCAAAGACCAAAGTTACTGGCCACATATACCACCGAGTCCCCCAAGGTAAGGTCCAAAGGAAGTTTTAAATCTCATCTCCTGCTGAACCACTCAAACTTCTCCTCAGTTCTGCCCCTGCCGGGTCAGCCTCACTAAATCACACAGTACTTATCAAGGACATCCCAGACTTTATACTCCCCGGAGCTCTTGCTTGCCTGAGTCCATCTTCCTGATCCCTCTGAGACCCACCCCGCCAAACAGCACTTTCTCTAGGACACTTCTCAGTCCTCCTGGGGTTAGCTGAAAATTCCTCTGTATTTCACTAGTTCCTGGATCAAAGCTTTACTTCAGCACTTCTCACACTTCATTCCTTAAGAAAAAAGGTTCCTGTACCTCTCCTTCTAATTTCTTAACTCCTCCAAGTTAGAGACTGTGTCTTCCCTGGGCACACGGGGGTCTAGCATGCTTGCTGACTAAGGAAAGGAAGGACCACTGTGTGACCGATTCTTTCTCCGGCAGTCACTGGAGCGAATGCTTCCAACTAAGCTAGTATGGCCGGGGAGGGGACCCGGCTAATCATCCCAGACCAATAAATTCGGCAGACTGAGGCAGGCCATCTGATGACCTGTGTACAGATCTCCTTTCCCCTACTTAATTCTGCATGCTCAATTGAAAAGAAAAATTATAAATACTATTATGGCTGAGCTATACTGGTAAAAAGGAAGAGATTGTTCATTTTACTTACTCCAGACTGTGACATATGCCACATGAGACTTGAAGGCCCTGGACTAAGTAACAGCACTATGGGCTTGAGTAGATCATTTAACGTCTCTGGGACTTCCCTGAAAAAAGCTATTAAGGCTCTGGTTGTCACAAAGCTGAAGGGCCAGACTAGACTGAGGTATTTTTAATTCTGAGATCTATGATTCCATCCATCCATACATTCATCTATCCATCTACCCACGAAAGCTGGATTCAAAGAAGACGTAAGAAGTCTTGAACATGGTGCCATTGATCCTACCATGTCAAGAAGAGTGACTGAGGGAGGTTGCCAACAGCAAGAAAGGAACTCACCAACACCAAAACCACTTTCGCAGGTGGCATTTGCTTGGGTTTGCGCCTTACGTGTTGTGTTGGGTCTCCTCGGCTGCGTAGTTTGGGATGTCACATTTTAACTTACAAAGGGCCCAATGGGTTGTCTAATAAGTAATTTTAAAAAGATGTGGAAAACAGGGGAGATGAAATTCTACTAAATCATATTTGAGAACTGTTCATGGTGATTTTTAAACGCATGCTGACAACAGCCACATTTTTGCACACTTAGGTATTAGCTCTAGAAAAAAGGAGACCATACATCTAAAGAAATGCGTAGCTTGGACAGGTCAGGGAACATTCCAGAGTCTACCTTTGTTTCTGTTGCATGGGCTGCTGCCTCATAGCCATATACTGCATGTCTTCCTGCAGACGATTCAGAGGGGAATCTGGCTTGACGCGAATCCCATAGTAATGGTACTTGGAGTTTCCTCTTCATAAAAGAACAACAAACATTAGAGACACAGAAAGTCAGTCAAATCAATATTAATCACGCAGGATGTCCACTTAGCTACACACTGGGAAAGGTTAGGTAAAAGTGGCATATTTATGTCATATGTTTATGATCTCCCTGTTCTGGATCACCTGTGTATTTTTATGGTGGCTACACCTGAAGAATCAAATTAAGATTCTGAACCAGTGGGCTCAGGGCCCTGCGATAAATCTTTCCTTATAAACTAAAATATTAGTATAGTATTATATTTTATATAAATATTCCTTATAAACTATAAAATATTAGTACAAGAGCCACTGAGTCCATGCAAGTTACATTTTTCTTTTCAAATTTGTATTTTAAATTTAATTTAGAAGGGGTGATGGTGCAAAAAAAGTCTGGCCAATAAAAACGCATCAACAGCATAAAGGGCTGCACACTAGATGGGAATTTATTACGACGTGGTTGTACAAAACGAAGAAGAGACATCTTGATTCTATTGTCTTGGATACGTTCTCCATTTTTGCAAGTTCTATTATGGCAGAGATCATGAAGGTAACTCCACTGATACAGAATGTTGCGGTGAAGTCTATTATTTACTATTTTGAAACCGAAAAGGAAGCAGGCATTTAATCTGTTGGTCTTGAAACATACTTTATTAGTCTCTGTTCTGACGGATTCATATCGGTTTTTGTGGGCTAAGATGTGTCACAACAGACATGGGGAAATTTCTCTGTGAAAATGGCAAATTTCCACCTGGATGAAAATTGTCACAATTTCCCCATGTTCGTGAGAAAGACCATGTTTGTTATTAGAAACGACAAAGTTTTGCTCTGAATGAAATTTGCAAATTCTTGCAAAAATAACATTTTAAATATGTAGATTTTTGCAAAGGGAAAATAGTTTTTCACAAGTCTATATATAGCAAGACATCAGCTGCTTTTTCCATTTTTTTTCTTTCATTTACAAAAAGAAATGCAAGAAGAGTGTGGATTAAATATTTTATATAAAAATAGAACAGAATTTTACTTCCAAAATTAAAGAATATATATTCAAAGACATTAAATCTTATTATATAAATAATATTGCTATTTTTTTTTAAAGTAGGGCATTTAGTATCTACCTAGTTTTGGTAAAATAAAACAGTATGAAAACTTAGGGCCTTCTACTTGCAGAGATTAGATCTTGTCTCCAAAATCCACTGCAGAACAGAACAAAAAACAAAAACAAAAAACACCAATTTGTAGTGTTCTCCCTTACAAACAGAGGTGGGAAGCAGGAGCCATCCCCAAGGGATGTAGCCAATGATCGCTACAGAGTAAAATGGTGTCTGTCTTGTAGACCAAAACAGATAAAGTGTCTAGTTTCTTCTCCATTTTCTACAAATCAGCATTTCCATTGGGTTGGTGGGGAGATGATTGGGGGAGATCAGCCATGTTCCATGATTTTCTTTGCTTAAACTTAATTTGCAGATGGATTCTAATGAAAGGAAACTTTTGAATTGCCTTTGTTTAGAACATAAAGTTGAGAAAAGTTTTGGTTTGAATTAATTCACCAAATTATTTTATTGTTTAACAAGTAATAGCTGTGCATACAGTTCATCAAGAAGAAGGAGGAGGAGGAGGAGGGGACGGGGGAAGGAGGAGAAGGAAGGGAAGGGGGAGGGGTTGGGGAAGGGGGAGGGGAGTCATCTGAGTTAGTTTGCCTCATGATTTATAATACTGATTTTCTTTCTGTCCCCTGGGTTAGGAGTAGTAAATGAATGAGAAACCACTCTCCACGACAGACCCTCTGGAGCTTTGCCCTCATCGTCAGCAATTCTACGTTAGAGTTCTGCTATCTTCGTAACATAGCATTTGCTTAAACTTTCCCCATAGGGTTTCTTTCCTCCTCATTCTTCTAGGCTTTCCTTTCCACCTCTAATTGCAAACACTACATCCAATTTTAAAAGGAACAGGAAACATAATTGTTACATGGTGAGGGGGGAAAACAGAACATCAGAAAATAAAGCTGCAATATTGCAATATGTACTTACAGAGTTGGATTCCACTCATTCACAAACCCAAACCACCCCAATTTTGTCCCTTTCTATTTTAAAGATGTGTTTCAAGGTTTGAAAGGAACCTCAAAATAGGACCCACTGAAATCCCTCTCCGCAACAAAAGGAGCACGACAATACCACTATTACAATGTTGAATAAAGCCCAGACTCTCAAAATACTGGCATGGTATGCATAACTACCGAGCCCTTGGCAAGGGGATAGCAGGTTAGATCCCCAAATAAAGATGTTTGTGGTTCTGGGGCGGGGGTGAGGGGGTGGGGGGGCGGAGAGTATGAGAGAGACAAAGAGCTTTTTTCAAGGGACTAAAAGTTTGAGTTCCTCTAGCCTTCATTGTCTCTGGTTAAAAATATACTATCTTTCCAAGTACAGGTAGAAGAAAATATATTTATGAGAGAACCTCCAGCAACCTGAAGGTAAAATCACTTGAAATGCAACAGAAAGGGGTATTCACACTCTGAATATAGGCAGATCTCGTCAATGCCATGAAACTGACATATACACCCCCCCCTTTTTTTTTTAGCATACATTGACTATGAAGTCAATTACTGAGGGTCTCTTTGTTTTATTAACAATATTAAATACTCTTCTTCACTAGAACACTAGGAAGCTGAGACTTAAAAACCAATGAAGGGTGTATCATCTAATGTTCTACAGCATAGCATCTTTATTTTTATACTTTTTAATATGGATTTCTGTAGGATTTAGGAAATCAAAAACATCCATATCCTTCTGCCCAGCTTCTTAAAATATTTATGTTATGATAATTTGTAAAAATTATAGAAAGGCCCAAAATGAAACTCCACAGTTCCAAGTATTATGTTCATGATATTTTGATTAGTAAAAACACTCATATCTCTTTCCAAAGGAAAGAGGCGAGAAACTAAGAATTTCTTTCACATTATTGGTTTCCGTGCAATGGTGGTATACTATATTTTTACTTCCCTACATGTACGGTTTCACAGTCAAGAGTTTAAAAAAGGCTAGTAAGAGGTTAAACAGGACCATATCATTACTGAGGGCTTCAAACTCCCCAATTTTTCAAGTTCACCAAATGATTTTTAATTGACCTCCAGAAATGAAAACTCAGCTTTAATTTCTCACTCTATTCAAAGAGTTATTTATAACGACATTTCAATATAATTTTGCAACAGTCAAGAGATAGTTTTCCACTGACTACATCACTTACTCATCTCTAGTCTGATTACTTTTAAAAGGAAAAAATAGTGATATATATTAATTTTTAAGGCACCATGTGTAAATCTTCCACTAACAGTCTGACTTGCTGATTTCTATATGATTTGAGAATCAACTCATCTCAAAGCTGAGCTCAGTTACTTTTAAGACAATGCATCATTCTGGTTTCACAGTATTCTGTGAATAATGACCTCCTTCAAGAGAGACTGTATAAACTGAGCTATTTCCTTATTTTTTCTTTATATGTTATCCGTAATCAAGCACTTTGGCTCCAACGATATACTGAACTGCTTTAGTTTGAAAGAGAGGGATTAGTTTACGATTTTATTTTTTCATACTAACCTAGTTCCCAATCTCCTGGTTCGTAATCCCATAAAAATTGACCTTATTAGTTTTCCAAAAGAAGCAGCATTGACTGGGTCCAGTTTGTGTTCCTGACAATGTCGTAGGTAGTGGTTGTACAACGTGCTTCTGGGAAGGCTCACTCCTTCTGCTGTCTCATAATTGTCCAACAGCCACTGGAGCTAGTACAAATAAGACAAGGTAAACACAGAGAAACCATATAATTTACCAACATGTCTACAAGCCACTACAAACACAATACACAGAAATACTTAGAAGATCTTCATCAAGACTTGTAATAGAGTCAACTGTTGTAATTCAAAGCCTGGTATAATCAGACCTTGAAAACTCTTGGAAATGTGCACCACTGAACCTAATTTATGACCTCGGACCACATCCATTCCTTCAAACATTCAAGCATGTGTAAAGAACACTAATATTCCCTGTATTGATTGCAATTCTGTGGATAAACACCTCTTCGGGAAATTCAAAGAAACCCCTTAACTGGTTGTAAATAAAATTTGTAATTTCTAATGTATAAGACGTTTCCAAGCCTAGTGGCGTGGCACATAATACGGCTTTAGGGTTACTTTGTTTTAACACATGAACAGCAGGCTGCCTGGTATGAGTTTTTATATTAAGTTTCTATTCATTTACATAGAATTTTAATTTACTTATGTAATATACTCCAACAGGACAACGGTACTATCTAGTGGGTCAAATTCTGCAAGCAGAAAGGAAAAAAAAAATCAAGAATTTCTTCCCCAGAAAGAAATTAACCAGACACTGATTAAAAAAAAAATATGTAACTTACAAAAAGGAATCTTTTATTACAATTATTGGAGTTTTTCTACTTCCCTGCTATGTTTTTTCATAATTTTGGAAGATACATTACAATGGTAGCTGGAAAAGCAACATTTTCTCAGTCTGTAGTTCACATTTGAAAGGTTTATATTGTCCTGTGTTTTTTAAAAATAATTTTTAAAGTATAGCAAGTGCAAAAAAATTTTAGAAAATATAATGTAGGTATGTATTACTGAATTTCAACAGCAGGAAAATTATTAACTCGTTTATTCATTTATTTATAAAAGGAGAAATGAAAAATGATTTTCTTAAGGTCACAGATTGTCTCAGAGCCCAATCTGGTTCCCAACACACGTTTCCTGATTACTTGCATACCGGTTGTTATTTCCAAAGAGCAAAAAATACTTCACATTACTTGTCTCAACAAAATTTCCATGCCATATAGAAGAGGTGTGATAAAGAAGTGATATTTTTACATGCAATTTAAATTAAACATAAGTTATGGGAGCCCAAGGATTCCTGGCACATCAACTATGAGCCAGGCAACGTGCTAGGCACCTAGCAATGTAGAAATGAATGTGATCTCACTCTTGTCCTCTAGGAATTTACACTCATATTCCAAAATACAATACAGATACTCAAATATATCAAAGCATTGGCTTATATATTTTAAGATTTGTGAACAAACTCAGAACCTGAACCTTCAGACTCTTACTAAGAAAATTCATTAAAAATATTTTAGACTTACTGCCTTTAACTATGATGACTGAATTGACCAAAACCATTTTAATTTCAAATATTCTTACATGATGGTTATGTTTAATTAAACTTATCCCATTAAACTAATACTGATGTTGGCTCCGAAAATATGGGCACAGTACTCTTTTTTTTTTTCTTTTTTTTTTTTTCTTTAAAGTAGGCTCCAGACCCAGCATGGAGCCCAACACGAGGCTTGAGCTCACAACCCTGAGATCAAGACCTGAGCTGAGATCAAGAGTGGGATGCTTAACCAACTGAGCCACCCAGGCGCCCCCAGAGCACAGTACTTTTAAAAATAAAGTTCACATTCTGGTCAGGGAGACCTGAAGTTCTCCGTGAACACTTATATATGAGTATGTGCATTTAAACATACTCATTGCCTCTGTAACACATACAACCCTCCCTTTCTAAAAGGTTACACAAAATAAACGTTCATTTACATAATGACAGAAAAATTAAAGGTCAAAAAGAATTCTTTAGAGATGAAGCATCTGTAACCTGTCAGTAAAGGCGTTTTCCAGAGACGTGATTTCTGAGTGTTCTAAACAGCACACAGAGCAAGTTCACTTACTCATACTCATTTCATATAAGGGGGGGGGGGAGGGCAAAATGATCGGAAAACCCAGTTACTATGACTCGGGTTAGTATTCTGCCTACCATAGTGGGTCAGGATGTCTCTAGTGTTTCTTCATAAATGTTCAGATTCTGTCGATTATGAAGGCAACTGAAGACAGTGACACATAAAATATGGCCGTACGAGTCTCCCTCCTACCCTTCATCCGCGTGCCTCAGGACGACGACTGGCATCTGAAGGCAATGCTTCCTCACGTGAATGGTGCTGGGGAGGCTCTAGTGAACCATATTGCCCAGAAATGCGAGCTCTTGTTTTGTGTGTATAGACTAGATAGAACCTTCCAATTGGTATTCTAAACATATAAAGAATATAGAAATACAGGACATAGACTAGAGAAACATAGAAAGGTATAGTCTCTGAGAAATTCAGTTTCTTGAGAGGAAGGAGTGTAAAGGAAACACCAAAACAGAGTCCTCAGAAAGGCAAATATATAAAAACTCTGAAATATTTTTGGGGAAAGCAAATATTCTGCAACTGAACTAAGGAAGTGTTCACATCCATAAGCATGGAACACACAACACATGTAAGTAAAGAATACCAAAGGTATGTTTGTGTATATTATCTTTGCTTTCTCATGAAAGACATAGTGTCAAAGCCAAAGTAGTATGATTTTGTAACAAAAATAAATAAAAATAAAATATTTCTTTGCTAATGAACATAACATAAAGCTATATAGGAAATGTTAATTTAAAGGATATTCTTATTTCAGAAATGGAAAATGATTTCGTAACATGAACTCTATAACCAAAAGTATACAACTAGTAAAAATAGATCTGATACAATATACTTTCAACAAGATATAAAGCAAATAAAAATAATTTGTTTAATTAATGAGATACAAATAGAAAATTTGCGTAAACTGCCTCAAATGTTTACTAGTTCTCTTGTAATATTTAATTACCTAAACGTAAAGACAGATATCTAAAATGACACTATTTTCTCATGATAAAGAAAATTGTCTTGTAGATAAAAAAAAAAACTGGAAAGCAAATCTAATAATAAAATATTTGAGGGTATGATCTTAAGACGCCTTTTATAGAAGTGAAAACTAGTGCAAATATTGAAGTTCAACATAAAATATTTTGAGTCCAAAGGTATGTTTACATATATAAAAGAGTTAATCAGACCACCCTTAAAGAAAACTTTTCACAAAAATAGTGACATAATGACAGCAAAAGTTGCCTTAAAATACTTGGAAGCCTGGATGATATTACTCAAGTCCCAGATGAATCGTTTAGAGAAAATGAAGTTTTTACCGGATTGGCTCCGTGGTCCCCTGAAAGGCTCAACAGGTCAAGTAATCTGGACTGACAGCCCGGCAAACTTCTTGTTTTACCGTATGCAGTGTTACATTCTTAGAGACTCTTCATTTCTACGCCAGTTCTTCAAAAAATCTGAGTTTATTTGTAGTATGTGCGTGTATGTTTGTGTCTACGTCATCAGTTGGTTTGAAAAATTCCGTAAGAGTGGGTTTCCGGAGGACTGTAACTTTGATGGACGCTAAGGTGCATTTCGTTCCCTGCCCCTTATTCGCAGGAGGAAGAATGTTTGCTCCGTGCCAGAAGGCTGGCAAGCACTTTGGAAGAGCAGGAGGAGGTCATGTGGAGGTGGAAAGCCCTGAGGGCTGGAGACCCAACCTCGAAATGCTGGGGACAACTCTACCATGTAAGCACAGCAGTCCTCAGCTCACTGTGTGAGCGGACTCTGGTTTAGGAGCCACGAGGTCAGATTCTGAGATGCAGCTGGGTATTATCATGCGCAGGCTACATGCAGTTATGTTGCCTTCAAGTTTCATCACAGGGACGACATTGTAAATCTGATATTTGGGTCTGAAACACAGTATAAGAAAGGACTGATTTTGTTCTAAGAGAAACCTGGCTGTTTGGAGTAAGCTAAAGGCATCCCCTCTCGTGCGGCTCAAGGGAAGGTCAGACCTGTTGAGATCTAGTTTCCTTGGGCTTTGTCCTTAATAAAATCCCTTTGGACCCTAGAATTCAACACCCTTAACATTCAGCAAGTTAGAACTAAACTATTACTATTTCGTTTCCTCTGTTATAAAATGTCATTGAATATTTACTTACCTTTATGGTTTTTAAAAGCCTGTAAAGATACCACAGGAACTTTTAACCTTTATCTTTAAAACTTGATTATTCTACTGATGAACTAACTCAGATTCATGTAAGGGTGGAAACCAAGATAATTGCATCTTTCAACCTTTGCATTTAATCTATATTAATCAGGGTAGATTAAGGAAGACGAATAGTTCCTATTTTTCCCAAAGGGAAATACTGATTGACAAATTAAAAAAAAAAAACAAAAAACATACTGCATTCCCCAATTAACATCTAAATGTAACATTTGGCATTTTTCCCCCAGATGGATTATTATCCATTAGGATTCATTTTAAGTTCAGTTCACTAATGATATGCATTTTGACAGGTCTTATTGCTGTCATAACTTATATTTACAATACAGCAAAGTCAAGGGAAAGTGAGTACAAAACAAGGGTTTGCTTTGAGCTGAATATATTTAAGTAGCTAAAACCAGCAAAAATCATAAAACAACTTGCTAGATTTAAAAAGTATAAAAAATAAATGCTTGACGCTTTTTATATGCTTTAGATGGATTTTTTTTTTTTTAATGCAAAAGTTCAAGAACATTTTGTGGAAATTGGGAACAATTAGTTTAAGAACATTCCTGTGTTCAAATTTGCAATCTAAAATATCTCACATCGGGTACAAAATAATCATTAAGTGCCAATTTATATTAGTTACCACTGAGAAGAAGTACAAAATAAACTTTGGTCTGCAATGACTGTCTACTTTGTTGTAGGCAGACGATATACATCATTAAGCCCCACTGCATCCTCACATACAGAAGATTTGGAAATAAAAGTATTTAATTAAAAATTATTATACTAATAAAGTGAATTCCATAAAGCTAAATCAAAAGTACCATTCTAAAATACAAGGAGATGAATGATATCACCCTTGGCTATGTTTTTGTTTTTTTTTTTTTTTTGAAGGATGAGATTATTTGGAGAGAAACGAAGGTGTCTACTCTTAAATGGAAGGTTGCCCATGTGGCAATGATAGAGGGCTCATATATACACTTTCACACAAATTCTATGCAGGGAAAAGGCTGCTTTATGCCAATACTGTTCATAAACAAAACGACAGAAGCATACTTGATAACAAAAAAATGCATGCATGAGTTCCCAAATAAACGAACATACGACAGGCAAAGGTATGGAGAATACTGAAGGTAAGATAAGATCAGTTCCCTTCTACTACTTGTTTATGTTCATCCATTTAGCAAATACTTGGGAAACTTCTACCATTACCAGCCACTCTTCTAGGCACCAGGGATGCCTCAGTGGATAAAAGGTATGAAGTCCTCACTCTCCTGGGACTTCAACTTGTCAGTTTGTATGTACTCTCTGCCTGCACGGCGTTACTACCAAAATAATTGCCATTATGCGAATATTGACAATACTAGAAAAGAAACATGGCACTCAATCTAACTATACTCAGTTTCTGAGTGGGGCAGTATATCGGGTATGAAACTGAGGAGTATATATGCGTCATATGCATTTCAATCTGAAGGATAACAGGAAGATAATGATAAAAACAGAGTAGTAGTACTAAGTACTCTTAAGGATATGCTGAAAAGGGGACACAGAATTCAAAACCCCACCCCAGAAAGAAAGGTAAAAAAACAAAGCCATCATGTTGGATTCTACTGACAGGAGATTATTTATTTGTTTGACCCTAAGAAGAATTTTCTGAGTTACTGTGAATAATCAAATGTGTAAAGGGAAAATGCGAAACCCATTCTATCCCATATTCTAAAACAGAGTGAAATAGACTTTCTGCTCAAAAATCATGATTAAGATGCCTCTTCCAAAACTACTAAACATGGGACACATATTATTGATCAGTTCTCCTAATTTCTGGCCTAATGAAATCGATCCTCTGTAGTAACTGAGAGGTCAGGGAAGTATCATCATGAAGTTGGGATTCATGTCCATTTTAAAGAATCCCACACACCTCAAATGAATCTCAAATGGGTATTATGTCCCATGTAGTGAGGGATACAGGTAACTTACAGTTTACTGCCATTTAAGATATTAAGGATGTATTTTTTAAAAACTTTTCCACTAAAATTTTTCTTTACAAGTGAACATCACCAATTAAGTCAACAGATTTTAAAATGCCCTTAGCAGGTGGCTATCAACTAGAACACATGCAGTAGCTTTTCCAGTTGTTTAGATTAACCTAACAAAAATTAGGAGCATCACTAACTTTCCAAGGACAGAAAAACAACAGAATTCTTGTTATGTGTTCAGGGAGAAGCCTGACTGGTCAGCAGAGACAAGATCCTTCCTTTACAGTTTCTATACCATCTGTAGAATCATTTGTATTTGTGAAGACTTGACTGTAAATGTGCTTTAAATGAATTTAACTACCTCAGAGGCATAACAAAACAAATCAGGATATCTAGAGGGAGATTATCACTGTATTTGCAACATTTATCTATATACTGTATATGTGTGTGTGTGTGTGTGTGTGTGTGTGTGTGTGTGTTTACCACCGTGTGTGTATGTATATATATATATACCACCATGTATATATCCTGAAATGTCTCTGGCAGTTAGACAACACTACGGAAGGGCTACCGTGCTATGTAACAAAAAGCATGAAGCCACACAGTAACATTTATTCCTTGTTTGTGTAGCTTAAACCACACGTTCATTAACATTAAATATTATTTTGTGAGTTTTACAAGAGAATAATAATCTCAAAGAAACCCCAACATATCTGAAGAGTTTCCAACAAATCAACAAAAATATACCAAAAAACCCCATGTTCTTATACCTATATTATTAGTCATGGAATACTAATAAATATTGGTAATCCAAGTTAAAATTAAACACAGCACATATTTTACTAAATTGCATAATTCAAGTGAAATGAGATATGAATTAAATAACAAAAACACAATTTCTTAGAAGTCTGACAGTTCAGAAAGTTTACTGTTGGCTTCAGGTGTTTGTTTTTCTTATGTTCCTGTACATTTTTGACTAAAAGTAAAAAACATTTTTACTTGCCATTTTCAAATCACAAATGCCAGTTAAGTCATTACCGCCCCCCCCCAAAAAACCCTAATAGCGTACATTAAACCAGTCTTTATACACAACTACAAATTCATGCTAACACAGTAGGGATATACTGATGAAACATATAAAAGAGTGACATTTTTTACTGCATATAAATTTTCAGACGGGGGTAAAAAATCACATTCCTTAAACTGTTTCAAAAAGAAAGGCCAAAACATACATTATTTTAAAATTTACAACCTATACTTTTTACCAGAATGGCAGGCATTCTCCAAATTGGCTAACCTGTTTTTATTTGCCATGATACTTCCCTTGAAAAAGAAAGAACACACAATATTCGTCTAAAAACAAATGTGTAAAAGACATGGAGGTATTTAGTGCTAAGCTGGAATATAAAATTTAAGTCTTTGAAAAGTCAATTATTTAAAAAGCACAGTGAAAATATTATCTGTGAACGAAAGGTTTTAGGTTTACTGAAAAAATAACAATATCTCATTTCAGTTGGGTGATCCAATTTTAGACTTTTCACTCACAAAATATGGGGAAGAATTCAAAAATTATAATAACTTATTTCTCAGTTTAAGAATGCATTGTCAGTTGGAGGGAAAACTAACTTGGTGTATTCTCATTGATATTAATTTAGCAGAAGATCTATCTAAAACAGATATAAGTCACAGCTCTATTTACTTTTCCCCATATATTCAGAAATTATGGCAACAAAATAATTTTTAATCAGAATTTCCATCAGTTCCCCCAAATCTGAAATTTGAAAAGTGTTCATAGTTTCACAAAACTGTCCTTGATCTTCTCAGACTTACCAGTGTTACAGTGATGGCTGCATCTGGTAACAGGTAAAAGCATCAAGAAATAGTAACAGTGATCCTATTTAATCTCAATTAGTACCAATTTATAGCTTATCTAGAGTCTCCCTTCTTCTCTCGGCCCAGTTTCATTTTTCTGTAGGTCTCAGGACCTGAGCTCATCTAGGTCACTGTTTCCTGCCCACCTTATATAGTCTTACTGGTAAAGAAATCATTTTCAGACAGTTTACCACTCGGTTTGGTATTAATCATCTTTTTCCACTTACAGAATACTACTGGGCATACAAGCAGACACGACCATTTGCCTGCTTTGGACACAGAGATGCGGATCACAAGCATTTGCTTCACAGACAATCAGTATCAAACCAGAAAACTTTAAATACTGAAAATCCCCATTAATTAGCTCTCACAAGTAAATGGCAGCTTGGTATGAACTTGGAAATGTTACATCTGTACCAAAACAGCACAAAAACCTAGTAAAGCAGTATATCAGGGGCTCCATTTGGGGTTTTTTTTGTTTGTTTGTTTTAGATATTCTGCTGTACAAAATAGCCATGAAGGGATACAGAGATCATAGGGCGCTGAGAGAGAAAGGTTAAGAAGCAAAATAAACAAGTCAATAAATAAAACAAGCATTTAGAAGCAAGCAACACATGCAGAACAAGCAAGAGATTAGTTTACATGAAGAAGAGGCAACTTACATGGCTGTTGAGGAGAGAGCTTCTGTGAGTGGACAGACCGTCAGACTTTTGCAGCGTCTCAATCGCCATTTCAATCTGATAATAGATGTCATTAAAAAAAGGGCTCAAGACAAGATAGTAATAAAAGGCTCACCAGAGAATTTTTGATAGATTCTCTAAAGTTCAATTTCTTCTTCAATGGTGGCTAATGAATAGCTCTTACCTAAATGTGTCTTTTCCCCCACCTTCCCGCCCCACCCCCAGAGAATAAAATAAAAATAGGCACGCTAATGATAAGCCCGATCGCAAAAAGTACACCTTATTTTTTTTTTCTGGAACATTCTGTAATGATGATCAGAATGGAGGCCTGAAGAGCAGGAACTCCAGTGGTTTCTTTCTAGTTATGAGAAAACATTCTTGACTTTCAGAGTTCAAGATGTGAGCTAGTAACTGCTCTCTTTCTAAACAGTCTTTCACAGAGTATTTAATATTTGCTCTATTTTGTCATGAAAGAAAAATTACCCTGCAGATTCTGTGTTTAACATGCATTAGTATTTTAATGCAAATGTACAAAGACCCTTTCATTAGTATTCAAAAGCTACTAACTCTATCCATTCCTCTCTTAACCCTGTATTAAAATTTGGAAGTGGAGGGTCATTAGTATGAACAAACACTACGATGTAATCATGGTCCCTATGTTATATTTTAGGAAGAGGTGGTGAGGCAGAGCTATTAGAAACGACAGCAGAAATGGAACATAAAAGAGAAAATAATTCAGAGTCAACAAAGAAAAGGACAACCACAGAAACAGTTTTATACCATGTAATCTCAGCATACCATGAGCAATCATAGCACCTTAATTAAGGAGCAGGTGCCTAAAATACATGGGATGCACTCTTGATAACCTCATAGCAAAAGATTTCTATCTCTCACTCCCAGTGTTAGGGCACGTACTGTCAAATCAGGTTCTGAACACACTCTATTTGGTTACTTGGCTATGTTAACAACATTAACTGAAGTTAAATTTAAAAATCACATTATGTAAGAGAGAAAACTGGTTTTGTTACTTTTATTTCTACCATGTGATCAAGTCAGCACATCAGTAGAAGCACCTATAAAGAACACTTAGTGTTTTCAAATGTAGTTGACTTACTTCTAGTTTACAGTGGTTACGGAAATTAACGATGCCTTGAAATTCTCACGTATCGTGTCCCCCCACCAACATAAAAATGATCGTTGGCAATGTCCACAGTGAAGTTCTCTCCCCCATCAACGTCCCAATTGCTTCCTGGTGGAACTTTACCCACAGAATGTCCAGTCTCAATTACATCAGCATTAAATCCAATTTTCTTCTAAGCAACTTGGGAACTTAATAGCTTTAATTCTATTTTATGTTATTTCCACAAGTTACTGGAACCAGTAATATATAAAACTGACAAAAATGGTAGACTAGAAATTATAGAAAAACATATTCTTAAAATAGAGATTATAGTAATTCATAAGACTAAGTAATAGGATTTGTTTCACTGTTAGTTTCTTTTAGATCACAAAATTAAGTAACCTGGCTTCTAAAACACTCTCCTTGCTGGGTGGAATGGTCACGTAGTAGATTTTCAGTTGAAAACCAACTGAAGAAGGTGATATTGTACTAGTGAAAAAAAAATACATTACAAAAAGAGTAATGTAAATGTACAGAGTAATGAGTAAGCAAGCATTTTACTAAAATGTTAAACTGCAGAACTACAAAGGACCTTGGTACTCATCTCTTAAAAGGGCATCCTAAGTGTTCTTGTTTGCAAAGAGAACACATATATCCAAAAAGAGAGCTGAAAAGCCTCACCCTCACGTGACTTTAGATCACTTCTGTGAAGAATTCGCTCAGAAGTCTAATTTGCTACAATGCCTACATTTTCTTTCTAGTTTGAGTGTCGAGAGTTTGACGTTCGATTTCAGTCTACTAGATAAAAATAAAATGATCTGCATTGCCTGATTTTCTACATTGAGTTGAAAGGTGAAAATGATCAGAGGTGTCACTGCGGTAGTGATGATGGCCAAATCTAGGTCTGTGTGGGTTTATTAATCAGCAATTTTAATTTCTTTATGACTAAAAGAATTCATGGTTACTGTTTCGGGTCATTAAAAAGTGGACATGCTAGACAAACATTTTCCATTTCTTCCTTAAACCAGTGAGGCTTTAGACGATGATGATACAGGAGGTTATTTTTTGAAAAGTCAATGCTCTGAACTAAGGTTCAGTGCCCAGTTGTAGCTCTTACTGAATAATCATCCTGAAACTGAGTCACCAGGAGTGTACACGTCCTCTCTGCAATTACCTATTGCTAGGATACGTGGTGCTTGGGAGTTTAGGCTGGTTCAGGTGACCCTGGACTATTGCCTCATAATCAGATAAGAAGCTACGGCAACTCTTCTGAGATCAGATGGTGGGATGCTCTATCCGACATGAGACATCTGGCCTGGAGAGACAAGCTTTCAGAGCAATAAGTGGGATTACTGGGGCGAGTGATATCAAGAAACTCCCTGTGTGACAGAGCAGGTAAGAAACCGCCATCCATTCCTGACAATCTGGGCACATGGCTTCCTAGAAAAATCAGTCTTTTCTGGAAGAGAAAAGAAGATCCTCAACACGATGCTAGGGACGATTTTCAAACCCTCCAGATTCACCAGCTTCACGCGGGGATCCGGGGAGAAGGGGACTTGACTCTGGGGGTGGCTCTCCACCGAAGACAGGAAACTTTGCTTCCATCTTCCTGCAGACGTATTTTCAGCAATGGGAGAAGAGGGTTTTGCAATCTCGGAAGAGTGGCAGGCCTCGGGGGCAGAAAAGCAAGAGAGACAAATGAGATGTTCTCCAGCTTTGGGAATCACGGGGTCTCCAAGCCTCAGAGGCAGCCCCGATGGAATGCCTGGCCAGGTCCGAAGAGTCAACGCGCAGGTAATGAGAACTTGCTACACTCACAGGCCAGATTTCTTTCCGACCACATGGTAGCAGAAGGATGCAAAGACCTCGTTGCGGTGTGTTGTGTGACAAACGACTGTGGAGAATTGTGTGAAAAATGGGGACTGTGTGGAGCACCTTGCTGAGAGGGTCACTGGCCATGAAGACGATTCAGAAAAATCAGACTTCGTCAGAGAGCAGGCACCCCTGGGAGTCTGGCTGGCCCTGAAGCTTATTTGGGTAAAGAAAGAGGAAAAGGGCTATATTTTAAAAATGTTTGGGACTGTGTCACCAGTGAATTAGTCACTGGAGGATTAAAATGAATAGAGGTGTAACACTCGGCTTCCCCAACCAACTGCTGAGTTCTCAAAAGACTGAAAATCAGGGAATGGTGTACATGGGTTTCCTTCACTTGGGCAAAAGACACCCTGTACTAAGTCTAGAGGGCTCATCAGAGACTATACCAACGACTGTGCTTCTGGTACGGAAAGTGGCAATGATCACCACTGTGATAAAAATATGACCACATGTCAATAAGCAAACCTTAGGTCTTGTATGGCAGAGTGGTGTGTGTGTGTGCACGTGCGGGTATGTGTGTGTGCGCAGGTGTGTATGGAAGACTTAAGCCCCTATTATTCTGAGAGCATATAGCAAATTCAGCAGATTGCTCTAGTGACAGAAGTCTTTCCTGATTTCTCAGGAGTTAGGATTAGAAATTCAGAAGAGGCCGGGGAGCTGCTGTATTTCATATGTAAGAGAAAAAACAATACGTAAAACTCAGTGGAGCTCCTACAAAAAGAGAAGAAGGCCTGGAAGGGGACAGGGTACCTATGATCAGATGGGGGACAGATACACGGTATGATGAACATATGGCCTCAAACCCAGGCTGCAAACTCTTTTCCAGTCACTACAATGCTAATGCTGCCTTGTGGGAACCAAGGACATGTACGTAGAGGGTCTCCAACCACCCAGGGTTACCCTGGGTGTATCTAACCAAGAATCAGTGTCCCGAAAAGGACTTCAACTTCAGAGGAAGTCCCACCCAAGGAAAAGAGGATGGGAAGAGGAGAAGAGGGCTCAGATGGTGTCTGGATGTCCAGCAAATACAATTGTGTCCTCTTCTCCCAACCTCAAAGAAGGAATCGATACTGTACTTCTTCTAAGGTAGCAAATACTTTTAAAGACAAAAATGAAATATGAAAAAAACCATTTTCCCCATTATTTATAATTTCCCATTATTATTTGCAATTGGCATTTGTAGTTCCCCATAACATTATAGATGGCCCTTTTATTATTATAGGATGGCCCCTCGTTTTGCAGACTTGCTCCCAGGCTGAGGTGCTCCACTGGGGGGTAGGGAGGTTTACAGGACGTCGGGATCTGGGAAGACAGAAGTCAGGGTTGCCCTCACCTGCATGCAGAACGAGCAGAGTGGGGCGAACAGGGAAGGACAAAGAGGCTTCGAGTGACTGTGCTCTGGACAGTAGCATGAGAAAGCCTCAGCTTTTTCTCCTACAGAATCCTCATAGGAGCTCTACCATGGCCAGATACTGCAGGTTCAAGTAATCAAGGCTGGCTAGAGCACAGGGTTCATTCAGGGGCAGCGGATAATGTCAAAAAGGTAAACTGCAGTTGGAAATGAGGGAGACGTGAAGGGTGACAAGTCTTTTGCACAAGTTACATGTGATAAAAAAGAGGCTCCCCTGGACACGTGATTTATACATCCATTTATGCATGCCTGTACAATGACTCAAATAGGGTATCACGTTGTGGACAATTAGGGCTCTCTCTTAATGTAAATATCAACCAGTCATTCCATTACATGCTAATAAGGCAGAAGGAAAAAGAATAATTATATCACCTTATTCATTGTCTTTATAGGTCAAGGCACATTCTCTTGACTCTGAAATGGCTTTTTAATCTATTTTAAAGAATAAAGGTCAAGATTGATATATTCAACTACCACTATAATTAAAATTGGTCTCTTGGTAGAAACTATTTCCTTTCTATAACTGTTAAAGTGATTTAAAAACTGAAGTAATATTATAATACTTTATGGTTTATAAAGCCTTTTTTCCATTAATTCTCTTGCGATCTTCACAGCAACTTTGAGAAGTGGGGAAGGCAAGCAATATTATCT